TTTTTAAGTTAATTTTGTATCTAACCACTTTGCTAAAGTTATCAGCTGTAGGAGTTGCCTGGTAGAATTTTTTGGGTCACTTATACATACTATCATATCATCTACAAATAATGGCACTTTGAATTCTTTCTTTCCAATTTTCCCTTTAAACTTCTTTAGTTGTTTTATTGTGCTAGCTAAAACTTCAAGTACTATATTGAATAGACATGAAAAAAATGGAACCTTGTCTTGTTCCTAATTTTAGTGGAATTTCTTTAAGTTTCTCTCCATTTAATTTGATGTTGCCTTTATTATGTTTAGGTATGCTCCTTGTATCCCTGAACTCTCTAAGACTTTTATCAAGGGGTATGGATTTCATCAAAGGCTTTTTCAGCATCTAATGAGATGATCATGTAGTTTTTTCTTTCAGTTTGCTTAAATAGTGGATTAAATTGACAAATTTTCATATGTTAACCATCCTTGCATCTCTAGAATAAAGCCTACATCATGATATTTTTGATGTGTTTTTGGATTTGGTTTGCAAGTATTTTATTGAGTATTTTTGCATCTATGTTCATGAGGGAAATCAGCCTGTAATTCTTTTTCTTTGTTGAGTCTTTGTGTAGTTTGGGTATCAGGATGATTAGTCTCATACAATGAATTTGGTAATGTTCCTTCTGTTTCTATTTTGTGGAATAATTTGAGGAATATTGGCATTAGTTCTTTGAAAGTCTAGTAGAATTCTGTGCTAAAACCATCTAGCCCTGGACTTTTTTTTTTATTGACTTTTAAAGACTGCTTCTATTTCCTTGAAGGTTAAATGTCTATTTAAATTGTTGATCTCATCTTTATTTAACTTTGGCAAGCGGTATCAAGAAAAAATTGTTCATTTCTTTTAGATTTTCGAATGGAGTACAGTCTTTTGAATATGACCTAATGATTCTTTGGATTTCCTTGGTGTATGATGAACTGTTCCACTCTCTAGAACATTCTTGTTAATGTCTTTTGGCAGCATACAACCTGTAACTAGGAGTGGGATGGATAGGTCAGCTCTAGTGAGTACTGCCAAAGAGATTTCCAAGATGGTTGTATATTGATTCTCATTTTCAACAGAAGTATATGAAAACGTCACCAAGTGTACTCTTACTAAGAGTCTAACATTTAAAAATATTTCCGTAGATTCAGCAATGCCCTTTTTGAGACAAGGTCTTACTGTGTTGTCTAAATTGGCCTCCAACTCATGATCTTCCTGCCTTAGCCTCCTGAGTAGCTGTGATTACCGATATTTACCAACATATGGAAGAGCCATGCATCAATTATTAGTCACTTAATTATTTGGCTACATTGTATGAATTGCACCAGCAAGTGATTTGTCATGCCAACAGTGGCATGTGCTTACACAAAGCTAGACAGAAAAGCACACTACATACTTAGCACATGTTATTGAATGAGCTGCACCTGTGCATGGATGGCAGCATAGTAGGTTTATTTACACCATCATCACCACAAACATGTGGGTAACACTTTTGCTATGATGTGACACAAAATCAAAAGTACATAATCTTTTCAGATTGGCTTCTCTCAGCTAATAATATACATTAAAGTCTTTTCATGCCTCGATAGCTCATTTTTATGTATAATATTTAATTACTTTTTAACAATTTCATACAATGCATTTTGATCATATTCACTTCCTCTTCCAACTTCCCCCAGATCCACCCTCTCCATCCTCAACTTTCTACACACCCAACTTTGAGTTTTTATTATCTTAAAACAACAACAATAAAACCCCTCCAGTCTGATTTGTGTTACACAATTACTCTTGGGAATGAGGCCTGTCCTGGAGCACAGTTTTACGAGTCACTATACTTCCTATATTGCCAGATAAGCTATGGCCCTAATTCCTAGAAGCCATCCACGGAGTGAAAATAGGAAACCTGTGACCCTGAGCCTAATATTTGCTTGAAAATCATATATTAGGCCTGTCCAGATCATAGGAAAGGGAGCCTAATATTTCTTCTAACTAGGGACAGTTATATGGATCTTTTGTCAGAAAGCTTTGTTTTATTAAGCCATTGATATTCTGCGGTTTCCTGGGCTAGCAGTAAGCACTGTTAGTTTATTTTAAAGGTTACAAATTCTTTGATAACGCTTTGGGATGTGGGAACTATGTCCCCTTTCCTATGATCTGGGCAGGCCTAATATCTGATTACAAGAAAAAGAACAGGAGAGAAATGACACTTCATTTTTTTTTTAAATTGGTCAAAAATGACATGTCATTTCAGCCTTCTTTGCAGCATTCCATCTGGAGTGTGTCCTGGTTGGGTTTTGTGAGCTTGACACAAACTAGAGTCATTTGGGAAGAGGAAACCTCAACTGAGAAAATGCCTCCATCAGATTGTCGGTAGGTGAGTCTATAGTGCACTTTCTTGATGCATGATTGATGTGGGTGGGCCCATCCCATGGGGAGGGACAAGGGGGCACTGCCCCCCCATAGGCAGGTGATCCTGGGCTGTATAAGAAAGCAGGCTAAGTATGCAATGGGGAGCAAGCTAGGAAGCAGCACTCCTCCATGGTTTCTGTGTTAGTTCCTGCTTTGAGTTCCTGCCTTAGCTTCCCTCAATGGACTATGACCTGGAATGTTAGCCAAATAAACTCTTTTCTCCCCAAGTTGCTTTTTATCATGGTTTTAGCACAGCAGTCGAAACTAAGACAGAGCCCCAACCAAACCTACTAAGTCTGCTACACTCCTGCTCACTGTGAGAAGTCCAGGCCACGTAGTGAGTTTATCACTAGGAGTTCTGATAGTATGCCCAGTCTTTCTAGTCCAGTTACAAGAGAAAATCCAGCTTACTGTGCACTAGACCACGTGGTTGTTTCAAACTACTGTACTTGGAGTAATTTATTACACAGATATAGCAACCTGGAACACTAGTAAATAGTAACGCTTGCCTTTTCATCCATACAACTGAACTGCTGTGATAAAACTGAGCTACATTTTAAAAGAAAATGCTTGTGAACTATTTATCCCTGGCTTAGAAACTTTGTTACTGCTTTCTCCATGCCAAAAGTTATTCTCCCCAACTAAATGAGGGGCTAACATGCTTTTCATAGTAGTTTATAATAAAGGAAACATTTTTCTAACACAGTCAAGTACATGCATATATGCACATACATGCAACTGAAAGCTCTATTAGGTGGTACTTTTCTAAGTATTTTCTCCTGATATTTCTGCCCTGTATAATTTCATTATTTAAAGTATGTGGTTTTGTTTGTTTTGTTTGTTTTTGACAGTATCTCCCACAGTCCAGACTAGAATCAAATTCACTGTATATGCCAGGATGGCCTCAATCTCTTGATCCTCCTGTCTCCCCAGTAATGGAATTACAAATATGAGGCCAGCTCTAAAGTGTAGTTTTGACTACATTCTTGTTGTTGTTTATAAATAGATCAAGATGTCAAACAACAGATCCTATACAATATCCTTTCCAGTTGAAAATACTTCCCTATAATATTACTACTCTTCAGATCATTTCCCTAACCCAGTCAGAAAGGCTTCATGGACTTCTCCAGGCTCTTTTGAAACTCCTATAATTCATCATAATGTCTTCTATACTGCCCACGCTTAACATGTAAGCACTTCCAGGGCAAGGTGTAAAGGCAGTAATAACAACACAAAGCCAAAAATTGAAAGGGTCAACCTTTAAAAGCAACATATCAGCCGGGCGGTGGTGGTGCACGCCTTTAATCCCAGCACTCGGGAGGCAGAGCCAGGCGGATCTCTGTGAGTTCGAGGCCAGCCTGGGCTACCAAGTGAGTTCCAGGAAAGGCGCAAAGCTACACAGAGAAACCCTGTCTCGAAAAACCAAAAAAAAAAAAAAAAAAAAGCAACATATCCTTTTCTCTGATGTTCAGTCCCTCACTGCTTGGTGTCTAACTTAGGGATTTGTGATGCTATATGTAAACAACTAAAGATTAAGTCCTAAGACAGGTAGACATGTCAATGTGGGCTCCCAAGGCAGACTCTCAATGAGCTGTTTGAGCATTAGCCACATACGTATAATTTTGGTGGCTCTCATGTTACATCTCAAAGAGTTGGTGACTTCTATTTTCTCTGTTTTATAAGGGAAAGTATTGGGTGAACTGACTGACTTAGAATGTCTTTCTTCCTGAATGCCCCTGTCTTGTAACCTTTTTGTTTCAAGTCTAGATTCAAATATCCACAAAACAATTTCTACTTCACTCTAGCTAGTTCTGAGATTCCTTTTCTGTATCTTAATCAAGAATCCCAGTTTAGTCTGAGTTGAGGTCTCCAAAACATGAAGGGAACCCTTCAGACTGCTGAGACTGACAGTGTGGAGCTGTGTGTGTCTCTTTGAGCTTTCTGCTAATGCTAATGTCCTCTGGCACCTCACCCCAAAAGAGCAGTCTAAAGAAGGGAAAGTGGCATTATAAGGCTCCCCTCCAGCTCCTTTTCAACTCTATTAAAATATGATCTCCCACTCATGGCCAACCAACTCCTTTTAAGTGCTGTAAAAGGCCCTACTCTCACTTAGGGACGTGGTTCTGAGAATTCGTATGTTGAACGTTGTCTGTTGCTCTATTAACATTTTTATATCAATTTTATTCTCTGCTATTCGTGAGTCCACACAAGGCTCTACTCTTTTCCTTCTGTTTGTTAATTTTTCATAATTCATCATTCACTAAAGCAATTGCTTGACAGATGATAGTTTTGTTTCTAATTAACAACTCTTGTGTAGGTTTCTTTGAGGTGGGGCATAGAAAGATGATTTAATAAGTTATCCACATATATTCAACTTCAGAGCGGGGAAAAAGTATAGTGTGTGCCAACTCTGCGTGTTTTAAACTAAGCAAAAAAAGGTTATAAACGGTTTTCCTAAGAAGTCTACCGAGCATTAACTACTTGATACAGCCACACACAGCTACAAGTCTGCGTTCTCTATACTTGGGGGAGGTAACGCGGAGTGTTCTGAGGAGTTAACATTTTCTCAGCAACTCACGGCCAGTACTCTCGAAAGTGCTTTTCCGGAACTCGTTCCCAGTTCCGCGGCGTGGCCACCGCCAGCAGCACAGCCGGAAACCGACGGTTCCTACGGGACAGTTCAAGAAGGCAGCGAAGGCGGGACTTCCCTTCCGCATGAGTTCCACCGGCTGGTCCACGGGACTCTCCCTCCGAGCATGCGCCGTGCTTAGCGTCACCGTGGCCCTGGTAACCGCCAGGCCCCGCCCGCCGGTGTCCTGCAGAAAGAGTTCCGGGTAGGGCAAGCGGAGCGGAGGCGGTGTGGACCGCGAGTTCGCCGTGGAACAGGTCGGCCTTCCCTCCTCGGGTCGGGTGGTTGGGGCCGGAGACCCGACGGGCCCCGAGGAGGTCTTAGTGCGGCGAGCCCCGCGTGTGTCGTGCCTGTGGGGACACACTCGATGGTTTGAGTCCTAAAAGACGATTTAAGTGGCTTCCTAACTCGGAGGAGCTCTTTCCTGCTCCCTGTGAGCGCCATTCTCTAATTCAGGCTTTGGAGTGGTTTGAGGGTGGTCACGGAAGGAGGTAGACAGGGGTGTATGTGCTGTTCCCATCAGCCAATAAGCAGAGGCGTTTGTTGTGTCTATTTCTTGGGAATGTGAGACAAGTGTATTGACACTTTGCATTCCTAGTTCCACGAGGTTGGGTAGGAACAGAGATGCCTAAGATTGCAGCATTTCAGGACTGTTTACGATTGGTCTCCAAATTAAACTTTACAAGACACCCTGCTTGTCATATAGCCTGTTCTTTGGAAGGGGCTTCTAGTTCTATGTTAAAAGTGGCAATATCTTGGATGTTTAAAAAAAAAAATTGGATATTGTGCCTGTACAAAATATATGACCCGTTCTTAGTACTTCACAAACAGATACTGAAAACAGTTTTGTCTGGTCCTGAATTAGTCCACGATTCAAGATAGGAGAAATTTAAAGAATGTTCCCTTGGACTGTAATGGAAGAGACAGCCTTTTCCTCTACTTTGAGGAAAATAGAGTTATCAGGCTGACATTTTTGTCGAGCTGTGTAGAGCCCCAAAATTGAGTAGTGGGATTCATCCTGGATGCCTCTTACAGAATGGTTTTAGTTTAGTTGACAAGTATTTGAATCTATCTAAAAGCATAAAAAAATCAAGAATGGATAAATCGGAAATAATTCAACTTTTGCCAGAAGGAAAATGTCACTGAAAGGTGCCTCTAAATGAACACATTTCTCCATGTCAAATAATAAGTACTCAAAAGTATAAGATTTGTCATTGCCTGTGTGGATAAATAAGGAACTGATTTCAAGCCTAAAAATAGATGTTATGTGCAAAGCAGACAGGATGAAACTGCATGAGTATAATTAATTTTGGAGAAATTGGGTGGGAGGAGGAGTTATAAATTAACTTTTTCAGCCTAAGTTGCATAATGAATAGACCATTAGGATGCTAATTACTTATTAGTTCCTTAGGAATAGCTATTGCTTTCTAAGTTTCCAACCCTCCACAACTGCATCACTATTCACGTATTTGATGTTAAGTATACACTCATATGTCCCCATGTCCTCTTTTTCATTAACTGTTGTTACACACAGGTGCATATACATAACCTGCACAGAAACTATTAAATGGGAAAGTTCTTACACTGTTTTATCTTTGCTAAAGAATCTGAAGGGTATATACTTTTGAAAAGTTTAAAAGTCTTAAGAGTTTAAAAGTCTTAAGATCATATCTTTCACTTTATGGGATATTTTACAAATGTAATTGTCAGTAGCTATCTCAGCATTAGCAGATGTGTTATGGCTGACTGTATATTCAAGTTGGAGAGGAATAGGCCTTGTAGAACATATCTATGTTAGGAAGAACAGAATGTCTTTTTCTTCTACTCTCACTCCATGATCATCAGGAAGACTTGTGATCGCAAAAGATGTGAGGATCCCCCCGCCCCCCAGCAGTATTTCTATGGTGGATGTCAGCTGGTATCCTCAAATTCAGCGCTGATGCTACTGGAGACAGTGTTAGAATTCATGGCTGACGGTTCAGTCACTAAGATTGTCCCATCCTCATAGCCAGTCACAAGCTGGGCCTTCAGAAGTTCCTACCAACTGGCTATTGCATTTGATTTGCTCATGTGGCCCACAGATCGTAGGAAACACTATGCTTGCATTTGATGGCTATTATAAAGGCTATTTTAACAGAATCAAATGTGCAGACAGGTAGAAGTAGGGAAGGGACCCAAGCTCAGGCGCTTCCTCCTGGTGCAGTTGAGGTGTCCTGCCTTACAGCGTGTGGATGAGTTCCCGTTGTGTGAGCCCCTACATGTCAGAAGCTCCTGGAAGCCTCTGCTTTGGGTTTTTCTAGAGTGTTTTATAGGCTTAATTGCTAACAGAGTGAAAGGGAATCATCGGGCCTGTCAGATTCTTCAGCTTTCCTTCCTCCAAGGTGTAGGGCAGAATCCATTTTGAAATGGGCATTTGTTCATCGACTATGAAAGTGGAACAATGTAAAGTTAGACTATCTATGATCTGCTCCAGGGAAGGAATTTTAAGCTAGAACAGTGATCAGAATCAGGAAAACAAAGTAAAGTGTGTGTGTGTGTGTGTGTGTGTGTGTGTGTGTGTGTGTGTGTTCATAATAGCCACCTGATTTTACTCATACCACCGCAGCTTTTTATTTTCATTAGAGTTCACCATGAGAGTTCTGTCATGGATGCCAATTCAAAGATAGAGTCCATATGCTTGAACGCATTTCTATATGGTATGAACAGAAATTCATTGTATTCTTAATATTTTTATATCAAAATTGCCATATTTGAGACAAAATGGATCATCAGTGTCTAAATTTTATATTTGAAGTGGTTTTTAATATAGCACATTTACATTTTTTGTTGGGAGAATACTTGGTAAGAGTTACTGAAATTGCTCTTTTGAGTTGATTGTTTTTTAATTTTGTATTTGCAAGCATATTAATCAGTGGGTTTTTAACTTAGCAATATCTATTGGTAAATACTAACCCTAACAGCGTAAATTATATTGGACAATTTTATTTGTAACAGCGCTAAAACATTGACACTTTTCATTCCTCCTCATTTTATTTTTTACAGTGCACCTATGATACATGTTTTAGAAACAGAACATTTTGGTTCAAAGAAAGAATGGCTCTCAGTCCATCTGTATTTCCTCAAGAAAGTGAAAAAAATAATGCAAATTGTGTGGAAACAAAACAGTCACAAACTGCTTCCATAGCTTCCGAAGACCCTCTTCAGAACTTATGCTTAGCGTCTCAAGAGGTGCTTCATAAGGCTCAGCGGAGTGGGAGGTCACGGTGTCTCCAGTGCGGCAGCTCAAGGATGTTCTACTGCTACACCTGCTGTGTCCCTGTGGAAAATGTGCCCACCGAGCAGATCCCCCTTGTGCAAGTAAGAGGCTTGTTTAAAAGTAGAAAAATGCAGTTTCAAAAGATAGCATGCATATATATATATATATATATGTATACATATGCACACACACATATATATATGTGTATGTATGTATTCTAATATATTGGATAAAGCTTGGAAGTGAATTATATTAATGTGTAGAATGAAGTACTAAATGGTCTTATTAATAAAAAACCTAGAGCCAGATATTGGGGTAAAAAGCTGAGAGATCAGAAAAGCAGAAAGAAGCCAGCCACATTCTTACCACTTGGAGATCCTCCGCCAAAGAGACCTACTTCCTGTATACCCACGCCTATATGCCTTTCTGTTCTGCATCTCACTTCCTCTCTGCCCAGCTACATCACTTCTGTCTGTCTATACAGACCTCTAGACCTCTATGGTTAGCTAGTGTTAGAATTCAAGGCATGTGCCACCATGCCTGGCTCTGTTCCCAGTGTGGCCTTGAACTCACAGAGATCCAGACAGATCTCTGCCTCCCAGGTGATAGGATTAAAGGCGTGTGCTACCATTGCCTGACTTCTATGTTTAATACAGTGGCTGGCTTTTTTTATCTGATCCTCAGATAAACTTTATTAGGGTGCACAATATTTTGGAGGATACAATACATCACCACATTAATGAATAATTTGACACTATTAAAACTATATCTCTTGTTTTTAGAAAACTCACTTGAGTTTGAAATGAATTGTGTAATTTCAATGACATTAATTGGTTTAAAAACTTAATAATTATAAAAGACAGTTTTATAGTCTAACTTGAAGAAGCTTCAAAAAAACGACTTCCAAGTCCTTGTAATGATCCTTGGGAAAACATTATAGGTAGAATCAGGGTGGATGTTTACCTGAGGTTTTGTGATTTTCCCCATCTGACATGCAGAATGGAGCAGATGGCCATGACCACCACTGAACTAAGCTGGAGTGTAAAGGATTGGGGCCTACCTACACAATGGACCATGTTACCATTACAGTGTTTTCCAGCCTTCTGGGAAAGCTGGCTTGAATTGATTGCTTTTTATTGTTTGAGGTGTTTATTAAGATTTTTTTATAGGTTCACAGATCATTTATATGTAATTAAAGAATTTACTGTGTATGTGTTAACTAGTCCAGCATTGACCCAAATGTGAGAAGTCAGTCAAATAATTGTATTAAGTGTGATGGGCATGTATTAGGATTTTAGAAAAATTCAGTTCTATACCCAGCACAAATGGGGCTTGCCACTAACAAATAAATTGAAGTTGTATTCAGAAATACATATGAAATATTTAAGGTTTATTTAGGTTTGAAGCATGAAAGACATTTTAATGCTTATTTTGCTACATGCATCATCTTGGCAAGTCTGTGATGTCCTGGGGGCCTAAAATCACACATACAGACAAAGGCAGAGTTTATTGGTTAAGAATGAGGTAATATATTTCCAGTTCACTCAGAAAAAATAATAATAATAAAAGTTTGAGATTAAGGATTTTTGTTAATGTCCTTACCAATAGGAATGGTACAACTCAGAGTCCTGTCTTCTGTTTATACCACGGCCACATTAAAAACAAAAGTCCCTTTAAAAACCTTACCTTGCCAGGTGTACTTGCAGCTCTCAAGAGGCTGAGGCGGAATGCTTAGGAGATTGATGCCAGTGTGGGCTAAGTAGTGAGTTTGAGCCAGGCCTGGGTTACTTAGTAAGTAGACACTGTCTCAAAAACATTAAAAAGACGTTTTATCTTAAAGTATGTTCAAAAAAGGATTGTAGATCAAAAAGATAAAAGTTGTATTTAGAGGGCTCCAATTTGGTAGAAATTTAACAACAGGAATATTTTCCAAATCAGTGGCAGTACTCAGCATTTATTTGAAGTACTTTTAAAACCACGCCAATTATTTGATCAATTGTATAGTTTTCTAAAGTGTATATTTAGTGCCTGCATATGAAATTTGATATGTTGATTTATATTAAGAGAAATAGAAAGTCTAAACAATGTTGTTTCTAAATTCTACTTCAGTTTTAAGCAAGTCTTCAGCATGTACTTTCAGAGAGCCTGCTTGGGAAGGCAGGACACAAGGAGTATGTCCCTCTTAAGCCTAAAGTTTTAGTCTGGGGAATTTTGGTGATTTGCAGGAGAATGGCCCCATCACCTCATAGGTTTGAATACTCGGTCCCCAATTGGTGGAACTTTTTGGGAAGGATTAGGAGATATGGTCTTGTTGGAGGAGATGTGTCACTGGGGGCAAGCTCAGAGATGCAAAAGTCTGATGTAGTTCCCAGTGCTCTCTCTCTCTTTGCATCATGGTTGTGTCTCAAGATGTGAACTCTCAGCTACTGCTCCAGCACCATGTCTGCCTGCTGCTGCCATGCTCCCTGCCACAGACTGACACTCTGAAACTGTTATCCCTGAATAAACTATGTCTTTTCTAAGTTGTCTTGGTCCTAGTGTTTGCCACAGTAATGGAAAAGTAAGACAAGAATAAATCAAACTTATCTTTATTTGATGCAGAATTTGGAAACTATAAGAAATGAATAAAGATAAAGAAGGGAAAACCCAAAAAACTCCAGCTTCAGTAGCCCTGTTTGAAAAGGCTTTGCTTTGGGGCAAGCACTTGTGTCTTCCTGCTGGTAGCATTTGAATGTACCTGAGGAGAAAGCTGTGTGCTAAGTCTCTTGTTAAAAACATAGCCATTAGAGGACAAATGGGCATCCTACTACATAGTTCAAAGTAGAGTATCTCTTCCAAACTGCCCTCTGGTCTGGTCAGTACTGTAGTGTTTACTCTGCCATGTCAGTATTAAATGTAATTTTCCCATCAAATGTGTGACCCAGGACACAAGTGTAAATTCCCATCACTCGATGTGCTTTGGTATCATACCGCTAGAAGCTCAGACTCACTCAGTGAGAACTGATGATAGCCTACTGGGTCCTGAGGTCGTGAATTTTGTGTAAGTGTCTTATAATTAGAGATTTTAGTCCATAAAATTTCCTTTTCATTACACAATTAAATTATTACATATGATTTGCAAAACTCATTAATAACATTTGATTCTGTGTTCTTTGGTCTTGTTTGTTTTTTATTTTATTATTATTTTTTATCAGTTCTGTGTTCTTGATGTAAAGTTAATGTAACTATTAATGGTAGCCTTTGGAGTTTTAAACTCTACTCATCAACTTGTTATAAAGTCAGTTTTATTAGGAGTCTTTGTCACTCTCTTTCCTACTTCCCCTGGGCTATGAATAATGCTGATCTGGTATCCAGAGACCTCAGGGAAAGGGAAATAGAATGCCAGCTGAGACTGAGCACTGTGTGGAAAGTCACACTCATTCAGAAGTAGACCAGTATCACACAGTCTCTGAACTGCCTACTAAAATGGTGAATTTCCTACAGTTAGAAATTGTTATGTTGATTTCATGCAGTTGGCCCTATGTCATAAATGATGCCTGGGCTGAGTGAGGATGAAAGGAGAATAATGGTGTTGAAATCCTAGTTGGAAACTGTTGGAGGTGTGTATTTGTGCCTGCGTCCCTTTGAGGTGTACTGTTTATAGCATCCTGTCCTCACGTAATTGTTCAGAAAGAAAAAGAAAAGAAATTTGGTTTACTTTGTAGTGTGTAGCAACTACTTACCCCTTTAAAAGATAGACTTGGGGGCACCTGAAGGGTCAGTGTCTCCCTTTAGGATGTGTGTCATTTTTTACATGGCAAATTCTCTCCTAATGCAGCTTCTCTCTGGGTTCCGAAGGTAAGGCGCTCTACAAGACTCCATCATGCTGCCTCTTGTGTGGCATTCTATGCCCCCAATGCTGTCCCACTTTAGAGGCCCAGTCATGGCCCTGTGACCTTGAGGCTGCCTCTCCACATAAATCTCATCTTGAATGGGGTAGGGTGAGCTGTAGAACAAATGATAAGCAGTGTCTTTATGCATTTCCAAGTAATTATTTTGAGTTAAAGACACCAGACAGAAAGATCCTATTTTATTTCTGTCTATATAAGACCCCAGAAGAAGTAAACTGAAGTGACAGCTGGCTAGTAGGAAAGAGAGGGGAGAGGACACTAGAAGACCGTTTGATGGTGGCAGATCGCTTTCTTGATTGTGGTAGCTAGTTTGCAGATATAATATCTATTAAAACCTACTAGAATGTAGACTTAGTGTATTTGTTCTTAGGCTGGAACAGTTTTCTGGCTGCCTTCCAGGACCTGTTTGTAGAGCTCTTACATTCTTTGTATGAAATGAGGGTCTTGGAAATGGTAGATATACTTACCAAACAACAGAGTCTAAAATAAAGAAACTTAAATAGTTAAAAAAAAAAATAGCTCAAGAAATCCAAGAGAATTATTGTTTTTGAACAGAAGAATTAATACATACTTTAATTAAGGAAAATACTTAGACAAGTATTACTGAGATACAGCTTGTATCAAATATAACTTGAGAAAGGTTATTCAAAACACTTAAAGGCGTAGTCTGTTGTTTTTTTCTACTGACAGCTTAATTTGTGCTATGAAAATATATTGCCAAAGATCACAAAACTTAAGGTAACTTTGACTTGAAAAAATGTATGAGAAACAGGATTTCAATTTGAATTTTAAATCTGAGTTATCATTCAAGCTTTCATTTTCTTTGAAATACGCATAAAGTAAATATAGAGTTCATAGAAATTAATTTTTTAAATGTCCTCGCCATGGATGCTGAATGTGAAGAGTTGGCCTTAATACATACAGGTCTTAAGTAAAATACCCCTGGGTCATTGCTTTAAGAGCAAGTTAAATGTTGCCTGGGCTGAAGTAGTTGCTCAGGCACGTGATCAGCATTGAGGGTGCCATTGGGGTTTGATGGATGACTTACTATCCTTAGTACTGTGGTTTAAACAGTGTGGTCTCCCACTGTAAGTGTGCTCATCGGAACTCAGTGTGAACTGTGTACTGACTTTGTTCGTTCGTCTCTTCTCTTTACTCTAGCTCCCACTGAAGATCGACATCATCAAGCATCCAAATGAGACGGACGGCAAGAGCACCGCTGTGCATGCAAAGCTTTTGGCGCCCGACTCTGTGAGCATCTACACATATCCGTGCATTCCAGAGTATGAAGGGAAGGATCACGAGGTGGGTGGCTTGGCACTTAGAACCCCCATGGGAGCTTTTAACTCCATCTCCTTTCTGAACTTTCTTGAGCGTGATTTAATATCCTCTTAGCAATCTAATGTTATGCTCATTTAATGTTAAATATGCATTTTACTTTAGTGATGCTTTCATAGTGTATATCTCTGCATTATTTGAATTTATTTAGAAAGTTATAATTATAAATAATATCTGAGTTTGATCTAGTAATATGTTTGTGTACTCTTCTCTGGTCAGTTAAATATCACTTATTTGATTAAGTAGAACACGCTGTTATACTCTTTATACATTTTTTAGACAGAGTTTCACTGTGTAGTCCATGCTAGCCTTGAAACTCAAGATCCTGTTGTCTTAACCTTGTAGATGCCAGGCCTACAAGTGTATCTCATTATCTCCACTCTATTATTCTATTCTATACTACCATCTCTAATGGCTGTAAAAAAAAACCACCACATCATTTCCTCCCCTGCCTTATTTATTTTATCTTTCCTTATTATACAAGTGAAAATAGTATTTAGTCATTGAACAGTTTCTAGTGGTTGTTTTTAAAAGTATCATGTATTTTGCCTCTTTGTCTCTTTGGCTAGCCTGTAACTCTTAGGAAGCCCAGGCTGGCCCTGATTTCATGTCCCTGCATCTCCAGTGCTGGGATTATAGGAGTATAGCACCACACCACAGAAATTTAATTCAAGGTACTGTTAATGTGGCTTTGTCAATCAGTGAGTAACTTATTTTGAATTAACATTTCCAGGTAGTATGATTATATGCTATTAGGAATAAGCTAAAACTTTACCATATATGGAAGAAAACGAATAGCAGAATCAAAGTAATGCTTATTTTTTAGACATTCAGCATCTGTTTTTCTTAGAGTTTTAAGTCAGAATTTATGTTGAAGATCACAGTAGCATGGAGCTAACTTGAGTTTCTTTGTTTTAGGTTGTACTTGTTTTTCCTGGGCCTCAGTCCATCTCAATAAAAGAGGTCTCTTTTCATCTGCAAAGGAGGATTGAAAGTAAAGGTCGAAGCAAAACGGATGACCTTGATAGGCCGCCTTGTCAGCTCAAGAGAGCTAAGGTAGAGGAGGGCTGTGATTTGAATGAGAGCTTGTGCAAAGGCCCAGCATTGAAAAGAGTCGTCTTTATTGACAGCACCTGGAGCCAGACCAACCAAATAGCCTCTGATGAGCGCCTTCGGGGTAAGGACATGTGTCTGGGACTTTCCTCCCCTGACAGCTTTTATTTAGAAAAACTTCAAATTTGTAGCCCCCTCAAAAGAAAAGTTACATTCAACGTTCACATTTGCTGCCATTTTTCTTTCTTCTCCCTTTCTGTATCATATGTGTATTTATGCATCTATGTACATTGTTGATGGAACTGTTTTAGAGTAAGCAGTAGGCTTTGCAAAACTGCACTCTAAGTAGTATTGCTTTTTTTAATAATAAGGACACTCCTTAATAAATACAATGCCATCACCACTGCTAAGAAAATTAGCGAACTTATACAATATCTAGCATACAGTCTGTCCTCACACCTTTCTGATGAATACAATAATGGCTTTTGTAGCACTTTCCCCCCTGACACAGCATTTAAACATTTAAGCATTTAGATTTTTGATGCTTGCATAGCTTTGATTTCTTAATTTAGGACAGTTTCCTAAATTTAAGTTTTCTTGATTTAGATTTTGGTAAAGTGGTCAGATTGGTTGTTTAATGTCTCTTGATTAGAGTCAGTGTAGATATTTTGGTTAACATACTTTTTCGATTATTTCAAATTTATGTGTACATATGTGTGTATTTGTGTGCATGTATGTATAGAAGCCTATGGAGGTCAGAAGAAGGCATCATATCCGTTGGAGCTGGAGTTGTAGGCAGTTGTGAGCTTCCTAATGTGATTGCTGGGAACCAAGCTTGGGTTCTACACATGAACAGGAAGCACTGTTAACCACTGTTCTGTTTCCCCAGACCCATAGTTAGGGTCTTTAAAGAAGAATAAATCTAGGCTTGTCTACAGCTGGTCCAGTTTGTATCTGTTGTTTGTTGTCATTATTGATAGTATGTCTTTTATCATTTCATCAGTTGTTTGGTTGAACAATTCATGCACATTAAATTGAAGTTGGCATATAAAACAAGTTTCCTTATTTATAATTGATTATGGTGATGATTGCCAGATCTTCCACCATAAAGGTTTATTTTCTGTAGTAGAGTATTATTTTAAGATATGTTACTTTTGTTTACATTGCATTTGTTTAACTCTGGAAAACTGTTACTATGCCTGTCTAAAACACCTGATGGTCTAATAAAGACCTGAACAGCCAGTAGCAAGGCAGGAGAAAAGATAGGTGGGGCTGGCCAGCAGAGAGAATATATAGAGAAGAAAAGAGATGGAGGAATGGGGGAAAAAAAGCAGCAGCCAGAGAAGGAGAAGGACTCCAGGGGCCAGCCACCCAGCTACACAGCAAGCCACAGAGTAAGAGTAAGATTTATAGAAGTAAGAGAACTAGAAAAGCCTAGAGGCAAAAGTTAGTAGATGTGGTAATTTAAAATTTAAAGAGAAAGCTGGCTAGAAACAAAACAAGCTAAGACCGGGCATTCATAATTAAGAATAAGCCTTCATGTGCGATGTATTTGAGAGCTGGGTAGCAGGTCCCCCTAAAGAGTAAAAGAGCCAAAAAAACAACAACAATTTTCCTTTAGTACACTGGAGTAGTGCACGCAGGCTATAGACTTTCTCAGCAGTGTTAAGTATTCATGGATTAATCAGTCATTAAATTGAGAAGTGAGAAATGGAGAAAATTTAGTCATGTAACTTCTTCCTGTGTTAGTTGTCCTTTTTATTACTGGCCTCAGTAGTTTGTACTAGTATTGGCCTCAGTAGATGCAGCAGAATATCTCAAACCTACTTTGACTTTCTTCCCGACCCAAACTTGGAGTCATCATTTTCAAAGACCTGTGGTTCACTTTACTAGGATCTGATAGTGGAAGCTGAGTTTTGTAAGTTGATTACCACATGCCATTTCTTCCGTGAACAGAGCCAAGGAAACAAGTAGGTGCACATATTGTGCGTTCACAGTGGTAGTCTAACTCAGTTTAATAGTTTAAGAATTTCTTCTTTTTTACTTCTGTCTCTATGCCTTTATGGAAAAAATTCCCATGTGTATAAGTGTCTATCTATCTATCCATCTATCTATCTATCTATCTATCTATCTATCTATCTATCTATCTATCTATCTATCTGTCTATGAAATGCATGTGCATATGTGTATGTATGTGTTTACGTGTATGTAGGCACATGCATGCCACTGAGTGTATGTGGTGGTCAGAGGATAACGTCTGGTGTTATCCCTTGCCTTCCACCCTGTTTCAGACAGAGCCTCCCATTCACTGCACCAGGCCAGCTGACTCAAAGCTTCTGAATGTCCTCCCGTCTCTCCTGCCATCTCACCCGAGGGTTGGGATTGTAGCTGTGTGCTGCTGCATCTGCCTTTACCAGGTTCTGGGATCTGCTCAGGTCCCCGTGCTGTTGTGCAGCAGGCGTGTTAGTCGCTGAGCCATCTCCTGGCCCCGCTTGCCTTTTTCGAGTGAGTGAAATGCCGAGCTCCTAGTCACAGATTGGAAGTTACTTTCCTTGCCCAGTAACACAGCTGGCGATCTGAAGTCCAGGGGCTCACACCACTTCTCTTGTTTTTCTGCACCTTTTCCAGTGCTTCAGACTTTCTCAGTGGTTTCTCTAAAAGCTTCAGGATTCTCCAGTCATTGAACAGCTTTGTGATTAGAAGGCAAGAAAGTTACTCCTTTGGTATTGTGTGGTTGCCAAAAGGTTCCTCAAGAAAGGACGTACTACAATCTTAATCATTTCCAAACTAAGGAAGTACAAAGTGCATTTCACTGGCTTTATTAATTTGTTAGATAATTAGCTTGTGCCTGTGGGTCACAAGACTTTGAAGAACTTATTGTTATTTAGTAGATGAATCCATGCTGCCCTGTGCTTTGAAGGAGTGGGAGGTCACTGCCTGCCACGGCCCCTTGATCCTGTTACGGTAGCAAGTTTTTCCTCAGTCTGAAGATCTGTCTGGGATGTTTTTCTTTTTATTACCTTTTATGGTCATTTCTAGGTTCAAATGAAAGAACACAAGTAAAAGTCCCTGAAAAACCTATAAATGGAATTATTCTGGTGCTATTCAGAGTCAGTTTGCTTAGGTTTGCCTAAAATGAGATTTGTACAAAAGATTGGTTACTCCCTCCTGACTCCCATAGAAAGCATGCATCTCACTTCTGTGCTAGTTCGTAACCATGAAATGGGTCTCTAAAAGCCACTCTCTACATGTCCTAATTCAGCCCCTGCCTCCTCTGACTCCTCAGGAATAATGGAGGCAGGGCATATCTATAGCCTCCATGTTTGAGAAAGATAGACTTCTGGATAAACCAAATTGCCTCTATAAGAAACAATCCATGTTTGTAAAAAGTCACGGGCTTTAGATCTTAAAACACTTTTTCATTTGGCTAAGCTGAACAAACCACACTTCAGCTCTCAGATGTGTGTATCAGGAGTTCACTTCCATTGTGCTGTTCTGAATGCTGAAATTAAGTCACTGTAACAGGCTGGACACATGGCTCATGACCACCATAACTCCAGTTCCAGGGGATCCAACACCCTCTTCTGAGGCATGCCCGTGGTACACACTCATACATATGTACAGACAGACAGTCATACACATAAAATAAAGCAAAAAGACTTAAAAGTTACCTTAACAGTGAAACTATTGCTTTGTCAATGTTTACAGAGACCACAGCTCTGGACATTTCACTAGTATCAGAGTATAACACTGAAAGGTACGAGTCCTTGGTGTAACTTTGTTCAGTCCACCTAAAGCCAAAATGCAGAGTGGCATAGCGTTCTGGAAAATTCATCAGAGGGTAGATGGACCCCAGATTATTAAATTATCAGTGTACATAATGTCTGCCAAACCTAGGCAGCTCCTTCTCTTCGTTTTTGAGAACATTGATACAGTTTTTGAAATGGACTTTGGTTTGTGTTTAAACACTGTCATTTCAGGGTCTGTGTGTACGGTCATTTATCAGCTTAATTAGCAATGCCGAACCTGTCATACACTGAACTCATTTAATGCCGTGGTGGCCTCGCTGCTTGTGCTCCTGGTCTCACGCTGACTGGCAGCTGTTCCTCCCTGCTCCCCCCCCCGCCCAGCGTCTCAGCACAGTGTTACACTGTACATTACCACCCTGAGAAAAGACATCGATGACATGGAGTCCACTTACGTTTGAGAGTTCACCAGTCATTTACTCTCAGTACTTAGACCAGATACTTGTCTCTGCATCAACTGTCACCCTCTGCGAACAGGAGCTTCCCCAGGCCGAGAGCAGCACTGGTCTGTAAGACTGAACAGAAATATCCAGAAAGCTTTTTGACAACATTTAGGGAAAGCACAGCAGAGTGGTCTCCCCTTTGGCCATGCCTTTCCCGGCCGTAAGCTTTTGACCAAGCGTAGAGTATCAAGTGTGTGTTCTCTCCCATGGAGTGGGCCTCAAATTCCGTCACAGAGGGCTTGGTTAGTCTCCAGATAGTTGTGCCACTGTCACAGCAATAGGAGTGCCTTGCTTGGCAGCTTGCTGTTGTAGCACACAGGGTCTAAAGTGAGGGAGCAGCCTAAGCAGCGCCTTCAGCACGTGCATGCTAGCCAGCAGGGAAGAAGAGTTGCAGTCTGTAGCTGTGGCTGGCCAGGTACTCACTGTGCAGCCCACAATGGCCTCCAGAGCGCTAAAATGACATAATGTGCACCACCACACAGGAGTTTTTGTTTGGTTTTTCTTTTTCCCTAAGTAAGTTTTAAAATTTTTTCATATTTTTATTTATTCTGATTTAAAATAATCCTATCAGAATTCTTTCAAAGAATTGTGTATATGACACTTTAAAAAGTTCAAAGCTGGGTGGGCAGGGTGGCTTGGACCTGAGTTCAGTTCCCGGGACCAATATGGTATAAAGCAAGAACTGACTGCTGTAGGTAGTTTTCTGAGTGCCACCACACACACGCTACAGCATACAATCCGTGCACTCATGCGTGCGCGCACACACACACAAGAGAATAAATAAATTAGTTAAAAAGACTCATTTTTTTTAAAGTTCAAAATCAACCTCTCCATTCAAATGTTTTAAGGACTTCCTACATCTACACTTCATTCAGTCTCCTCCTGGCTCACATTGCTACTGTTTGTGTTCAGTATTTCTGTCTGTCCTTTATTGTCAGTCCACAGCTAGGATCTCTCCTGATTACTGTTTACACTGCAGTCTGTATTTGGAATTGTGTGACTGTGACCACTTTGTTGCTCAGCATTCTTTTTTCCCTACTTCCTTTGCTGAAACGTATCTTTCAAGAACTCCTTCAAGGGTCCTGTTGGCAGAAGTAGTGTGTGTTTTTCTGGGTAATCACTCTTGTCTTTGTGAAACATCATTTTCTAGGTTCACATTTTAGCTTGCTTATTCCGCTGCTGTCTGAAGCATTCTGTTGTTGCTAAAGATGTTTCATATCATTTTACTTAACAGTTATTTACATAAAATATGTCTCTCTTAATTAATTTTTTCCAACTAGATGACAAGTTGATAAGTATCCTTTAAGGGATTTTCCTCCATACTTCATTTTGGTTGGTGCTCTCTTTCACCCACATCTACTCCTGTCCAGATATACAGATTGAACAATTGATGGAATAGAGTTCTGGCATTTGTCTTTGTGAGTCTTGTGGCTTCACTTTATATAGTGTTTTCCAGTTTTATATATTTTCCTGCAGTTTTCAAAATTTTACTTTTTCCTTATGTTCAAATAGGATTTCATGTTTTACTTACTACATTTTCCTTATCCATTGATCTGTTGATGGACATGAAGGCTGGTTTCATTTCCTTACGATAGAGTAAAAAGCAGTGATGAATGCGGATGAAAGAGAATCTCTGTGGTGTGATAAGAAGTCCATTGAGTTTATTCCCAGGAGTGGTATAGTGAGGCTGTGTGTTAGTTCCATTATTAGTGTTTTGAGAAACTTCCACTGCGATTTCTGTAGTAGCCCCACAGTGTACATTCCCACCAGCAATGAATAAGAGTTCCTTTTCCCCCCAGATCCCACCTTGTAGAGATCTCTCACTTCCTTGGTTAGCTTATTTCTAGATAGTTGGGTTGGTTTTGCTTTGTTTTGTTTTTGAAGCAATTATAGTGGAATATTTTCCCTGATTTCTTTCTCTGCAAATCTATTATTGGTATATATAAAAGCTACTGGCTTCTGTATCCTTTGACCTTGCTGAACATGTTTATCAGACTCAGAAGTTCTCTAGTGGAGCCCATGGAGTGTTTTAAATCAGGAGAATGGGCGCACTGTCCAAGATTTTTTAGGAAATGGTCTGTTTTCCTTTGTTTAGTATAATTTTGGCTATTGTTTGTCATATATGGCTTTTATTATATTGTGGTGTGATAAAAGTTCTTACTTTCTTAAGAACTTTTATTATGAAGGCATGTTGAAAATAGTTAAGAGTTTATACTGGTTTAGTAAAGAGATTCTCCTCCAAGATCCATGACTTCACTAGCCCTGGGTAAATGGCTAGGTTTTTAGTATCAGGCATGATTTCTCTCTTTAGTGGGTTTAGTTAAGTCTGACTAAAGAACTGTTGGTTACCACCAGGACATGGGTGCACCACTTTACCCTTGGGGTTATCATGCCATGCTGGTTGTTGTTGTGGTTCATAGGCATCAGAGCTGGGTAGGACTGTTGGTTGCTTCCCTCTTTTGGAAGCTTACGTGGTGCCTTCTGGTACCATGAAAGCTAGTCCCCAGGGAAGAGACTGTTGGGCTCGATCAAGGACCTCTGGACCCTATGTCTAAGGTGCGTAGTGTCTTCAGCAGTAGGGATGTTTACCTTCCAACTCTGGGGAGCAACTAAGGGCAGAAATAATATCCTGTAATATTTGGGAGGCTCTTAGACATTGACCAGCACCAACTCAAAAGAGGGCTTCTCATGCCTGTTGTTGGGTTCTATTTAGATCTTTGGCTCTTGGAGGGAACATTGTTAGCCCAGATGAGAAAATTCCACTTATACTATGTATGCATGTTTATGCACCTACTTATTTGCATTACAATAGTATGATTCCTTATAACTTGTCCAGACAGACCTCCTTACTCTTATCTTACTTCCTCCCTCCTTCCTAGTTAGAGCTATAACCAAATACAAAAGGGAAAAGAGTGAATAAAAATGACAACTATTGTTGCCGGGTGTGGTGGTGCATGCCTTTAATCCCTGCACTTGGGAGGCAGAGGCAGGCAAATCTCTGTGAGTTCGAGGCCAGCCAGGTCTACACAGTGAGTTCCAGGACAGGCTCCAAAGCTACACAGAGAAACCCTGTCTCGAAAACAAACAAACAAAACAAAAACAAAATGACAGATAAATCCTTTTTTTTTTTCTTCAGATAAATCCTATTTTGCAAATAATGAAGTTCTATGAACAAGTTAAAACTTAAAAAGAAACTTTAGATAGATGCTAGCAGAATAGAAACCCTGAGATGGAAGACTCCTGCTTGTTGACTTTTTAATGTGTTTGCGAGGTCTGAGAACCAGGGAGAATGGGGATGCACGTGTTGTCTCTCTATGTATCTCTGTACATTTAAAATAATACCTTGTTTAGAATTGGAATAGAAGGAACTTATCTGCACTTTAAAAACAATCCTTGAAGTAATTAAATCATCACTGTGTATCAACACATATTATTGTACCAGTTATTATTATTGTTCTCAGTAGTAATGTGATTGAGAAGTATTTACATGTTCTCTTTTTTGTTTGTTTGGCAGAGTTATTACAAGTTGAACTGAAAACAAGAAAAACTTGCTTTTGGCGCCATCAAAAAGGGAAGCCAGATACTTTCCTTTCCACAATTGAAGCCATTTATTACTTCCTGGTAGACTACCATAGTGACATGCTGAAAGAGAAGTACAAAGGACAATATGACAATCTTTTATTCTTCTACTCTTTTATGTACCGCTTGATAAAGAATGCCAAAGGCTCTGGAGAGAAGACAAAACCCAAACTCATCCATTAGTTCTGCACACTCCGCTTGTCATGTCGCTCTGCTGATGTTCACAAGCTTGCGGTTAGCTGTTTACTCTGGGGAAGTCATGCTCAGTGCCTGGTAGAGGACTGGGGGGCGGGGGCGGGGGTTCCAGTTTTGTTCCTTTCCCCATATTTTTTTAAAGGAAAATTTGAATTTTGGCAATTTTGAAGAGATGGTTCTGATTGAAAGACAGCTCAGAAGCTATTTGCTCAGTTTGGGCATATCTCAGTTGCACTACATTTTAATGTGTTACATTTATGTAACTGACATTATATATGGTTAGAGATTGTCTCATCTTTTCACTTATACTTGCCCTCACCTTTGGATTTTTAAACAAAGACAGAATCTTGGCAAAACAAAAATAGTGAAACATAATTTGCTTGAGGTTAGTGGCAGAATTGGCAGAGGTAGTATGTTGTGCTATCTCTGTAAGTCCACACTTCCTCCCTCTGCCTGGCCTCTGCTCTAGAAGAGAACTGGGCCATCACATGGTCCTGCCAGAGGGATGCACATATGACCTGTTTTGGCAAGTCGGTGACCCAGGTCTAAGAGTACATATGCCCAACAGAATCAGGTCTGTTTTGATGTGCTAGGGACGCCATAGGAGATGGAATTTATTTTTCAAGAGTGAGCAATATGGGGTTAAAATACAAATTTCTTCCTGTCTGAAACATGTCTCTAGAAATAAAGGTAAGTTTGAATTGATTTAAGTAGGGCAGAGTCTGGATTGGGGTGCAGCAGGGTGGAGGTGTATGCTAAAGTTAGACTTCCCTGAGCCAAGTCTCTTGCCATTCACGCAGTTCTTCAAACCATCAGAACAGTTAAAAGGTTGAAGGAAAAAGAGGAGAGAATAATCTTAGCACGTCTTTGCCATCTCACAGCCGCCAAAACCCACCTACTTCAGATGAGAGTATTGCATAGCCCTGTAGCAGAGGAAACCTGTAAGAATTGTGAACTGGCTCTACCTGCCCTGTTTCTCTCTGGTGTGATAAACTAAAAATGGCCTTAACCTGCTGCTCCCTGTAAGATGGCCTTCGCCCCTTCTTTTGTTGCTTTCAAGAACCTCTCACTCTGAATCTGAGCCATAAACATTTCTAAGAGGGCTGTATTTGTATTTTTGTGGTTTAGCTGTTGACATATAAAAGTGCATGGCCATGCTAACCTGCTGGAGGGTGCAAGGTTGCCTTTATCCTGCCCCTGTACTCCTGTGTCGGTCAGGGGACATGACAGCCACCTACCACCCACCTGATACGTGTGCAAGGAGTGCCTCACGGCACTGGCATTGAACTGTTTCACAGCATTGCTGTGCCAGCAGACAGCCCATCTTTGGATCAGATGCATCTCAAGCATCCAGGAAGGATTTTAGCCCCATTATTTCTTAAGCTCTTGACAGATGGCTTTGTCTCAGTTCCCATCTTACACACTGACAATACCAGTAGGCTTGCGGGATTCCCTGTGGCTGCCAGAAAGGCTTTGGGACATAATCTGCAATGTTAGTGAAATTAACTAGATTAATGGCCTAGATGTGTTTGACATACTCCTTCCTTCAGAGGACTGTTTCCAGCCACTCAGCCTGCTCATCCTGACATGACTGGTTAGGCCAAGAGACTGACACTGTCTCTTCATGGACTCCATGCTACAACAGCAGATGCTGTCCAGTGTTAGTCAGTTTGCATTTGGTCCCCTCCTTGCTAGTTTCTCTTCCTTCTTCTCAGTGTTACCACCCAGGATCATGCAGTCTAATAAAGTTGCAAATCCAATCCTACTCTCAGGTTCTTCCAGAGAAGCCAGCTATTTTTTGGTGGGATTTGGTCAGAAAAGCAGACATCATTTAAAGTGTTAGCATGATTTTTAAACAAATATAATAAAGGAATTGGGGCTTCCCTAAAGGTGAAGTTATTGGGGGAGTAAGTCCAGAAGGCTTCAGCAGGGAAGGATTAGAGAAAGGGACATCAGAGCTGCTGAGTACCCAGGTCTGGCTGTGCAGACCTGGAAGGCTTCAGCTTGGGAAGCCTCTCATTTACTCTTCCCACACATCAAGGCTTAGTGACAGGGCCTTCTCAACCCATTTGGAAGCCTTAAGAAGTAATAAAAGGACTTTGCTTGGTCTTTTCTTTGAGGCCCTGTTAATTTGGACTTTGTCCCAGGTCTGTCTTTAATAATCATATTTTATTTGATTAAAAAAGAGTTTCATTTTCAATGCAGAATCCTAGGTTCCGTGCTTCCTCTCAGTTCCATCTGTATGCCACCTCATCTCTGAGGTTCTCTCCATACAGTGCCTTATCTATTGCAGCGACTAGCAGCTGGCTTCCTCGGAACCTCCCCAAATGTCACAAGTACAGTAGGTACATTAGGAAAACTGATGTCTTCCATGTTATGGAAGGATGATACAGTAATGTTTGGTCTCCAAATACTAATGGTTAAATGGTTCCAATGAAAAGTATTGCTAATTATTTAATGAACTTTATTTTTTTTTAATTTTTTTTATCTTTTGATTTTTCGAGACAGGGTTTCTCTGTGTAGTTTTGGTGCCTGTCCTGGATCTCGCGCTGTAGACCAGGCTGGCCTCGAACTCACAGAGATCCGCCTGGCTCTGCCTCCCAAGTGTTGGGATTAAAGGTGTGTGCCACCACCGCCCAGCATTTAATGAGCTTTAATTAAAGACCACCAGCTTAAAAAATAATCATTGCCCATTCATAAGAATCACTTATCACCCAGACAATGGATGTAGTCCAACACATGAAAAATGAAAGGAAAAGCATGGAACACAAAGGCAAAAGACAGTTGAGTATTTTCAGGAAGAATGTATTTATTAAAAAATACAACTTGATAGTATGTAATAAAAAAGAGATCCTAGAAATTGAGGAATTACTGAAATCAATACAAGAGTTGGAAGATAAAATATCAGAATAGAAAACTAATTTCTAAATGCTTAATGTTAGCCTTGTTAAATGTTGCAATTGAGAGCACGGACTGCCTGTACATTACTGAATCAAGCAAACCCAGGAACTGAAGTGTGACTGGCAGTGCTTTGATTAGCCACACACTTCATTGTGAAGAGAAGGTGGGAGACACAACAGTGGCAAATTCACAAGAAGCAAGCAGCAGCAGGTGACAGGAAAGTCTGTATACTCTGTTAATCTGTGCAGATATCCAGGTTCTGGTGATGCCGAGTTTCCTGAGGGATTGTTGAGAGAAGTCAAAGCCCTCTTCAAACTTTTTAATAAAAAAAAAAGAAAGAAAGAAACAATTATTGGGTGTGTGTATGATTTGTAAGGGTGAGGGTGTGTGCAGCAGCATGTCCACATGGATATGGAGTATGGTCTTTTCCACTTTTATGTGGATTCTGGGGATCAAAATCAGGTCATTATGTTTCTGTTCCAAGCATCTTTATCCACTGATTTTACCCTCCAAATTGTTTTTAACCATAACATTTGCATATCCTTTTGAGGCTATGTAAAAAACAATTTTATTTTACATATTGGTTGTGGTGGGTTCTATGTACTCATTGCATATTTATGGTGGAATAATGTGTCATGGAGAAATTTGATTCACAGTTTCTGTAATGTTCATACCCTCAATTGACAGATTCATGTCTATCAGTAGGCGTCTTAGTAATCCTATCACTATTACTAGAGTTATTAACTAACCTACTAGTCAACAAGACAGTTTTGACCTTCTTTGCTAAAGCTGTTTTATTTGTTTATGAGACAGGGTCTCACTCTGTAGCCCAGGCTGGCCTGGAACTCACTGGTCACTATATGGTCTTGAACACTCAGCAGTCTTCCTGCACCAGCCTCATCAGTATTGGATTGTAAGTGTGGGACAACACATTTGATTCTAAAGGTTATTTCTAAAGCTGGTATGAGGTCAGTTTTTTTCCTACTTAAAGAGATCTCTCAGAAGGGAAAAAAAAGATTGGAGATTAATACATGAGGTTCATCAGAATAATGGTGTTTTGAAGAATGGGGATTGTAAGGGGCAATATTTGAATTCCTTAAACCCTACACAGTCCTTAAAGGGAAGAAAGGAGGGAAGAAGAAGAAGAAGAAGAAGAAGAAGAAGAAGAAGAAGAAGAAGAAGAAGAAGAAGAAGAAGAAGAAGAAGAAGAAGAAGAAGCTAAGACAAAGAATTTCAGCCATGGATAGAGAACATAGTTAATTTTCTCCCAAACAAGCAGCAGGTCACACGTAGAACAAGGTCAACATTCAGCAGACTTCTCAACACAATCTAAAAGACTTTAGTGATGGCTTCAGAACTCAAGTGTACAGTTTTATTTGGATTTTGTGTGTAGTCATGCAGTTAGTTGGGTTGGACATTCAAGGTCTCAAAGTTTTACTATCTATATATCCTTGAGATGAAGGTTCTTAGGAAAATCTGGACAACATTTTAGAAAGATGAAAGAGGAATCCAAAAAGGAGGAAGAGAATCAGGGCAGGGGAGGGAAACTTTGAGATTCATCCATTCTACAAAAATGTTGGAGTGCCTGCTGTGTTCCAAAGTTGTGTGTAGGTGATCAGTATAGGATGTTGAATTCTGAGCACTAAAATAAAATAAAAGACAAACTGACTAGTGGAGAGCAGTACTAGTTAAATAGGAAAAGCCCTCTAATAAATAACATTGACCAGAGACCTGAACAGAAGTTGGGTGAATCATGCTGGTAATGAAGACTAGCCTCAGAAAGGGAAACCTTGTGTGCAAAGAGCTAGAGGTATATTTGTGTATGTAGCCTATTTGAGAATAGGCTTTGAACTACATGTGGCATGAAGATAAGCATATAGGCATCATGGTAGATCAAAGCTGTCTTGGTGGGCAAGTGACTTTTATTGGGGTTACTAGCAGGAGAATGGGTGAGGGGTTACCTATAGGAGCAGCTGTATCATCAAGAAGCTCATCCTGATACAGCTGGCATCTAGAGGAAGCTGCAGCCCTGGAGAACTCTGAAACTTGTGGGTTGCAGGACTGTGGACAGGCACACAGTATATTTTCATCATATGTTCTCCTCCAACTTCCCCCAGATCCTCCCTACCCACCCAACTCTCATTCATAATCAATCCTCTCTCCCATCTTCTCTTTCCAAAACCAAAAAAAGAAAAAAGAAAGAAAGAAAGAAAAAGATTAAGACCAATAAGAACTTTAGACTGGCAGCTGTGGAACCTGCATGGGACCAGACTAGACCCTCTGCATATGGTAGACAGTTGTATAGCTTAGTCTGTTTGAGGGGCCCCTGGCAGTGGTATCAGGATCTATCCCTGGTGCATGAGCTGGCTTTCTGAAGCCCATTACCTATGGTCAGACAACCTGCTCACCCTTGATACAGTGGGAAGGGGCTTGGTCCTGCCTCAACTGAATGTACCAGGCTTTGCTGACCCCCCATGGGAGGGCTTACCTTTTTGGAAGAGGGGATGGGAGGTGGGTTGGGGGAGGAGGCTGGGGGGGGGAGTGGGAGGAGGGATGAGAGGGAGATCTGTAGTTGCTATGTACAATGAATAAAAAAAAAATTTATTAAAAAGAAAAAAACCTAAACAAAAAGCCAACAAAACAAATCAACATGGAGCCTGTTTTGTGTTGGCAAGTTAGTCCTGTGCATGAGGCCTGCTGTGTCCTGAAGGAAGTGAAGCCATTGTGCTGACAGTGCTCCTCGAAAGAATCATGGACTAGCAAAAGCCCGATACCAAGCACGAGAAACCTTTCAAATGGTCAGAGTAGTCCAAGTGACTTCCCAAACAATAGAGATAATAGATGTAGCCCTGGATGCCTCTCTGGAGTTAAGGGGAGGTGCCTATTGCTGATGACACCAGACGTGTAGGACACAGGATTGGATGATCAGCTGGATCTGACCTGAGAACCTCTTTCCTGCAGTCTAGCTTCTATGGTTCCAGCAAACAAGGGAAAGAAGCAAGCAGTCACCCAGCTGCAACATATGAACCACGGTAATTACCAGCATGGCAAGATGCATAAAGATACAGTAAGTGGCACTCCCATGGACATAGGCCTACTCAACAGGAAGGAAACCATGCCTAGTACTGGAAACCTAGCCAGCTTCCTGGGGCTAGTGAGATCGTGGACCTTAGTAGAGAATCTATTACCTCCACCTTGCTAGCCCAGCATAATTCCTAACAACATTCTAAGTCCTATCCTCATACCCACAGTTAAGTGTATCTACCACCCCACATCAAAGAAGCCCCTCTTTACAAGTAGAGAGTGTTCGTTAGTTATTCAGAGAGCATCACTGAAAACCACAACTGGACACAATGCAGGGATCAACAGTCTTGGGGAGCCCAGTCCCAAGAGATACATTTACATCACAGCTCCTGCTTCAGTGGCTCAGAGAACATGGCAGAGAAGGGAGTGGAAGGATTGTAAGAGCCAGAGTACCAGCAAGTCTACCGTGAAATAGTCACCTAGAAGTGACTACGTAAACAAGACCAGAACAATGGAAATGTCAATGGACATGTAAACATGGAAGGAGGTAACAAAGGACTACAGGCAACTGAAGACTGCTTGGAGAAGGAAAATTAGCCTCTCCTAGGGAGGAGCCCCCTTATTGGTTGTCCATTGCAGAGTGGTCAGCCTTGAAATCATATACACACACAAAACCAACAAAATAGACTCAGCAGTGTGTGTGTGTGTGTGTGTGTGTGTGTGTGTGTGTGTGTCTGTCTGTCTGTCTGTCTGTCTTTCTGTGCGTGTGTTCATAAACATACGTATGTGTGTAACAATAAAGTGATAGAGTCTATCAACTTGGGAATGAGGATCATGGGAGGGGTTTGAGGGAAGGTAGCTGGGAGGGGTTGGTGGAGGAAACAGGAGGGAGGAGTGATGTAATTTCATTTAAATTAAAAACATTTTCATTTTAATAATGCCTCCCTTGGCGGAGGAACATTCCAGGAGGAGGGACCTATGCAGGGTGCCTTCATTGAAAACTTTAAAGGCTGGCAGTTGGAGGCTGTTGATGTCATTCCTTGCTTCTGGGCAGTGAGTGCGTCCTTTCTTGAAAATGAATCTGTAAGTACAGCTTTGCTTATCACAATCCACCCACTGTTCCATATAGATTAATTTCTCCTTATGCTTGGGAAGTGTTTTCCAAAGAATTCAAAGCTCCCCTTCCCTTTTTTTCCTTGAGGGAAACTTAAAAAGAGGTTACAGGGACGAATTTCTGTGCTGAACCAACAGAAGATGTGGAGGGGTCTCTGGACAGGCTCCAGGCCTGTTGTGGCAGTCAGGCTCAGCCAGGCACTCACTCCCCTCACTCCACTATCAGCCATTTGTTCCTTTGTTTCCCCTCACTGTTAGTTCATTTTCTTCAGCTTCTAGTGTTGGCTCCCAGGTAACTCAGCCCCACCTTCCCTCAAAGGCCTGAGTTTCAGGCTAGCATGCCCTTTTCCATATGACATTGCCATGCTTACATATTATAACCCCCATTTGGTAAGTGCAACCTTCATTTCTTACTGCCCCCATTAGGAACAAGATTCTAACCTCCATTAGTAAATGGAGTTATCATTCTTACTCATTAACCCAAAACCCAATTTTTAGACTCTAAAGGCATATGACAGCTTGTTCTCAGGATGGTAGCTCTGGTTGCTTTAAGGATGCTAGACCAAAACATAATCTTCAAGCCAGCCTGGGCATATTGCCATGTCGCAAGCAGTGTATTAGTAACTCTTAATGGTCAGAGTGCCCAGGAAAAAATCCTCAGGCTAAAGCTGCTGCAGTTATTACTCAAATTCTGGTGTAATACAATATTCATATCTTTATAGAGTTTGTCTGTATGTCTAATCCTGGCATTTTGTTGTGCCTTGGTCATATGACACCACAGTGGCTTTGCATGAGCTAACTTTTCTAGGAAAGGGAGGTCCTGACATCTCATTTTTTAACCCTTTCCACTCCACATTTTGTTCATCAATATGTCTCTGTATAGGGCAAAGGTAACTTCAGCTAATCTAACTTTGTTGCTGTATGTGCCACATAATTGTCTGAGTGTACAATTCACAACTAAGAACAGCCATCACACCAGCTCAGAGGTATGAAGACAGGAAGTTCAACATGAGTACCATCGAGCTACAGTACAATAGTGGCATGGCCATTGTGGGGATAACCAAGTGCCTTATAATCAGCTTGGAGATCTGTTCCAGAGAAACAAACTCATGCCTGGTATTATGAACCTTGCCTAGACACTGTAGCTGGGAAGGTCAAAAGCCCTAGGGGAGATGCTATTACCTTTATTTTGCTAAATGAGAGCCACTTATT